AAAAATATCTAGTCAAATATTATGTGCTTTCATCATGACAAAGATAAAATAGATAAGTTATTAGAAAAGAGTTATTAAAGCTATTATGTTCAGAAATCTTCTTTCCATTAAACAGAAATTGGGGGGAAAAGGGTTGCTAATATTCAGGAGGGCTAATAATTCAGACTTCAACTGAGTTATTTTCCACCCTACAAAGGAAAGAGAAATAAATACAATAGAATAAAATATAAAACAAACTGTGCTTTAAGCATTTTGATTTTAAGAAACACTTTACTACAAAAGTCCTTCAGTCAAGAGCAGAGGCATGTTCTCCATTTGTAATCATAAAAACAGGCGTCAGAAGGATTATAGCGCGCTGTCTCTTTAATAGTTTCTCTTTCGCGTCTCTTCTGATCTCTGATCTCAACTCGTTTGTTTATTACACAAATGATGGTTGACATGAATAATCACTAAACACCGCGTTTTGACACCTATTTGACCATTAAAGTGCTCACGTTAAGATGACTTTAGATGTGTGTGCTGACTGCGCTCTGCTCGTCTTAGTGTGCGAGACCGAATGCTGACTGCATGCTTCAATTCTGTGTGTGCGCGGCACACAGAATCATGCGGTCTTTCGCACTTTTAAGAGCAACACGTGTACAACTGGAAAGGGGGCGTTAAATGATGCAATAATCGGTTATCTCGATTAATGATTTTTCATAACCGTTGGAAGGCAAAATCGAAATCAGATTTTCGATTCTTCTTTAAGGGTTATCATAGTTTACTCAAACTGACAATAAAAAGCAGTTTTGTTAATTGAAATAAAATGAATGTTTAGGGCACCCGTTAATGAACATTTAAAACTATCCTCTTACTCTGGATATTCAAGATATAGAGGACTTGTTGTTGTTGTCGCAGTGGTGGGGAAAGTTACTTTAGAAAGTAATGCATTACAGCATTCATTTACTCCCCAAAAAAGTAACTAGTTGCGTTCCTTTTTGGCCCATTTCCACTGAGTGGTACAGTATGGTACCTGTCGGTACAGCTCTCCTTCATCAAGCGTGCGTTTCCACTGCCGAAAGAGTGAACTCAATGGTTAAAAGAACTCAATTCAGGAATGGGACCAAAATCATTAAGCGCTGATTGTCTTCCATTAACAGTTAAGCTACACCTCACTGTGTGTTTCTAAACTTTGTCCTCTTGCTGTATGTGATGGTCATATGGGTCACAACAAGCCAAAGTGCGGCAGATAAGGGTTTGTGAAGCTGTGAATCCTCAGTTAATGTGTGTGTGTTTTGTTCCGGCAGGCTGAGAGTGACCTGAATGAGCTGAAGGCACTGATGCATTCACCCAGCGCTGTGGTGGTAAGACTCTCAAATCTCTCTCAGTGAGAGCTGCATGATTCTGAATAAAATGAGAATCTCCATTTATTTTGCTCGGAATAAAGAGCACGATTCTGTGGATGTCAAATAAAGGTTAAAGAGCGCCTATTAAACATTAAAAAGGGTCATATTTTGATTTTAAGGGTCTCCAACAACAGGCTGATCTGCATGCAAGGTCAAAACCGCTTTCATTGTCTTATAATCTGCATTTATTTTTACCTAATTATCCCAACGACTTCCATATGAATCGTTGAGCGATTTATTTGTTCCCAAACCCTTCCTCAGTGCGTAGCTAATCTGCGCTGATTGGACTGATGCAGGCTGTTGTGATTGGTCGACAGCGTTCAGCACCAAACAGAGAGAAATGCCCAGCACGGCTTATCAACAGTATTGAAGTAGTCAGAGTGCAGAGTGTATGTGTGATCATACCTGCCAACAGTCCTGTTTTTCCCGGGTGTTTCCCGTATTCCGATTGCAGCGAGACACGCTTCACAGCAACACCATAGTACACAGCTCCTGGTTCTCAATAGTGTTATCATGGCCGGCCAAGGAGGCGACCTAGGCGGCCACCCTGGGCGGCAGAATAGTGAGGGCAGCGTCTGCGAACCCCCCGGTCCTCACTTTCATCCTTAACACCCACCCCTCCCTCCCAGTCCTCACTTCGCTGTGTTTCCATGGCGCAGAAGTGTAAGCAATACATTTATGATCAATAAGCAGCCCCAGATAGCACAGACAGCTGTCATCTCTTACCTTATACTGTGCGCTTCAGCGCCATTTCTCCTCTGTTTTTGAGGTGATGTGCATAAGTAATCCTTTTATATGTCTGACGTGCTCCAAACACAGTGAATTATGTTTGATCAAACAAAGGAATAGTGAAATATGAAAACAATGATCGCTCCCTGTGGCTTGTACAGCACCTCTCATCAGTTAGAATACAATAACTTTAGCATAGATTATGGTGGAGACAATTTTCAGTATTCCTATGATTACAGACATGTGCAGGAACCACCAAAATTAATTACAGCATGCTAGACCACACACAACCTAAAGGTACACTTTCACATTGGAGTTTATAAAAAAAAAAATACAAAAACGCCTCTTTTTTTAGGTGTTTAGTATAACACAGACAACATATACAGATATTTTAAACACTTTCAATAGTGTTACGGTTTAATTAAGTTGTCTAGGGAAAATAAACGTAACACTTATAATATTAAATTATTACTGAGTAGATGGATGGAAAATACACCAGGACACAAAATTTACGATCAATTCGTTTATTCCTCTTACGAGGAGAAGAAAAATGAAGCCAACAAAAGAGAGACTTACATGTGTGCGCTTTGTACAATGTATATATAATAATAATAAAAAAAAAAATACAATCAAAAGTTTTAGGGGAAAAAGGAACTAGAGTGGCGCCAAAGCAAAGAACTAAACAAAACCAAAAGCCACCTAAACTAGAAAACAAGATCCCCCTCTAAACTTACTAATAAAAATCAAAATGTGAAAAAGAAACCGAAATCTTCAGCGTTTGCGACGCCACACCTAAACTCCCTGAAATAATAAGCAAAAATACAAAATGCGGCGCTCACCCATTTACCTAGTGTTTCTGAACATTGGAGTTACCTACGGGCAAAATGTATGTCGCGCGACTTAGTAAACTATTCCCTTTTCCCCAAAAAGGAATGATAAACTCTTTAACCATGAGCTAATTAACATCGATGTAATTATTCAGAAACACAGAACAAAGCATACATTAACAGCAGCGAGCGAACACAAACCAACACACACACAAAGCACTCTGAAAAACAAGGCGTGCCGATCGAATTTAAAGTCCGCGGAACGAAGTCCAATTGGTCCACGAGGAAACGCCCTAATGAGGAGTGACAGGCTCGGGATCCAATCAGCAGGTACCTAGCAGAGAAAAAGTAGCGGAACAAAAGGTGATAGGACGAGACAAAGAGCGAAAGACAGACAAGGAGATGCGAAGGGAGACAAGCAAAACAGAGAGGGAGAAGGCACAAAACTACAAACTCCCACGGACCGTAACAATAGTGTTTTATGAAAATTCAACGGGTTTTCTTTAAAATGAAACCAAATTTTTGCACTTACACCTCTGCATGTGGATTTGGGAAGCTTTTAAATGTGGGTAGGCAAAATCCAGGCGGAAATCCCAAAATAGCAGCAGAGTTTAACTGGTTAATATTCTGTTTCTTTTGGAACTGCGTCACAATACGGAAAAAAAAATTGTTGCCGCTTCCGGTTCATGCGGGCTTTAAAGTTACAACTTTTGTCTAATTTATGTATTCAATTAGTTTGTTGTTTTTAACTGTTTGTTTATCAATGAAATCAATATGTTTAGCTTTGATATCATGTGTACGTTAACCTTTATTTCACATCCACAGAATCGTGAAAGTAGCCTTTGTTGCTGACATGGCGTTTAATAAAAATGTTCTTCTGTTATGCAGCGCATGAAGTTCCTGCTCCTTCAGCAGAAGTACCTGGAGTATCTGGAGGACGCCAAGGTTCTCGAGGCACTGCAGGTGCTCAGGTCCGAGCTCACACCGCTCAAGTACAACACCGAGCGCATCCACGTCCTCAGCGGGTAAACACACACAGTCAATTTTATTCCTTTAGTATTAAGCGAAGGGAAGCACAGTGGTTAGCACTGTGGCCTCACAGCAAGAAGTGGTTTGAGCTCCAGCTGGACCAGTTGGCATTTCTGTGTGGAGTTTGCATGTTCTCCCTGTGTTGGTGTGGGTTTCCTTTGGATGCTCCGGTTTTCCCCACAGTCCAAACACATGTGCTGTAGGAGAATTAAATAACTAAATTGGATGTAGTGTATGAGTGTGTGTGATGAGTGTGTTTCCCAGTACTGGGCTGATTCTGGAAGGGCATCTGCAATGTAAAACATATGCTAGAATAGTTGTCAGTTCATTCCGCTGTTGCGACCCCTGATAAAAAAAGAGACTAAGCCAAAGGAAAATTAATGAATATTTAATAAAATAAGTATTGAACGTGTCAGGATTTTTCTTGTTGAATATATTTCTGAATAGGCTGTTGGTGTTGTGGAATAAATATTCTGGTCTGCAAAATATTCTAAGTCTCTAAGTAAAACTTTTTTAATAAATGACAAAGTCTGAGATCTCCAAAGTCTTTAGACCAGTGGTCACCAAACTTGTTTCTGGAGGTCGGATGTCCTGCAGATTTTAGCTTCAACTCTAATCAAACACACCTGAACAAGCTAATCAAGGTCTTACTAGGTATACTTGAAACGTTCAGGCAGGTGTGTTGAGGCAAGTTGGAGCGAAACCCTGCACAGACACCGGCCCTCCAGGACCGAGATTGGTGACCCCTGCTTTAGGCAAAGCAGTTTATTGTTACAGCAGAGACAGGTCGTTCGAGTGTCTTCTGAACATAGGCTTGCACACAGTTTAAATACATTCCTGTGTCTTAAGACTCCACCCAAATTTACACATTACTACTCCCGCTAGTGGGATCTTAAATCTCTCAGGTGCCCGCCACCAATACAATCTCAGGGTCTTTCAGGGGTCTTACCCATGTCCAGTTAAATTCTTTCCTTTCTGTTTCAAAATTGATGACTCAGCCAAAAAACAATGCTCAACGATATATCTTGTTCACTGTCCACTGAGCAGTCAATTGTCAGTTCAGCTGAAGTTCATGGGTACTCATATCTTTTAGATGTCAGTACAAATGAGTGTGGGCACACGTGCAGGTGTGCTTTATCATGAGTTACAGAACAGAACGCAGTTGTCCTTATGGCCTTGCATCCATAAATCCAAAATTGTGACATTTAATGCTGCTCTTTTAATTTATCTTCTCATCCCTGACTGCATTTACACAGAATGACTTTTTTATTTACCAAAGCACGCATACCTGATGATGATGATGCCACAGTTATGGGTAATAATACAATAGATAATAATAATATACTTGAAACACCCAGGCAAGTGTGTTGAGGCAAGTTGGAGCTAAAACTTGCAGGGACCCCGGCCCTCCAGGACTGAGATTGGTGACCCCTGTTCTATTTCCTGCTTTTGATTGGAGTGTTGTTTCCCATGATGCCGCAGGTACCTGATGTGCAGTAATTCAGAGGATCTGCGTCTGAAAGCGGAGTGGGAAGGCAAAGGAACAGCCTCGCGATCCAAACTCCTGGACAAGCTTCAGAGTGAGTGAACATCCACAAATATACACACGCTCAGGCTGTCAGCTTGACAGAAGTATTACTATAAGGGAGTTCATCAGAGTTGCATGCTGAGCTTAAGATCATGCTTATGATTATGTATGAATAGTGCTGGGCAAACATTAATTACTGTTAATCGCATCCACAATTAAAGTTTTGTTTTGACAGAACATGTGTGTGTCATGCATTTACAGTATATGTGATGAACACACATACAGTTGAAGCCAGAATTAAATTTCTTCCTCTGTTTCTGTTTAACAGAGAGGAGATTGTTTCAGCACATTTCTAATCATAATAGTTTTAATAACTCATCTCTAATAACTGATGTATTTTATCTTTGTCATGATGACAGTAAATAATATTTGACTAGATATTTTTCAGGATACTAGTATTCAAAATATTTAAAGGCTTAACTAAGGTTAATTAGGCAAGTTATTGTATAATGGTGGTTTGTTCTGTAGACTATTGAAAAAAATTTTAGCTGAAAGGGGCTAATAATTTTGACCTTAAAATGGTGTTTAAAAAAATTAAAACTGCTTTTATTCCAGCCGAAATAAAGCAAATCAGACTTTCTCCAGAAGAAAAAATATTATCAGACATACTGTGAACATTTCCTTGCTCTGTTAAACCTCATTTGGGAAATATTTAAGAAAGAAAAAAAATCAAAGGGGGCTAATAATTCTGATTTCAACTGTATATAGGTTATGTTTATGCAATGAGGTATCAGAGTCTGTGCAGAATTGAGTGTAGTCAAACAGTTTTGAGATATAGTTGTGTGACTGTATTTGCAGTGCAGTGGGGACATAAATTCGTGGACTTTAGAAAATGAGAACATATTAAAAGTAATATTTTTATTAATGATTTTATAGTATATTCTTTATATAGATTTAATAGAATTTTTCCCCTCATAGTGTTTGCTTTGCACACATTACACATTGTAGTTCATATATTGACTGTTTTAATAGCAATTTTTATCAAATAATTAGTTAAATACTTTAATCAACCCTAAAAACAATCATTCAGATTAGCTCAGGACATTTGTAATCATTAATGTTGTTTGTTGTTGTTGTTGTTATTTATTCATTTTCTCTTTGGCTTAGTCCCTTTATTAATCAGGGGTCACCACAGCGGAATGAACCACCAGCATATGTTTTATGCACCTTCTAGCTGCAACCCATCAGTGGGAAAATTATTATTATAATTTTATTATTATTATTATTATTATTATTATTAATCATAATGGTAATATATTTATACATTTAATAATATTTCTTCTTATATTGTTTTATCATCATTATTATTAATAAAAAATAAAAATAGTCATCATATTAATCATGTTAAAAATAAAAACAATGTTAATTAATAATAATGTTAATTAATAACTAATGATAATAATAATAGTATTTATTTATAGTTATTATTATATTTTAGTATTATTATTATCATTAATATATTTTCATCATTATTATTATCGTTATGATTAATGAGAATCATAATAATATTATGTTAATAATAAGAAAGGCATCCGCTGCGTAAAACACATGCTGGATGAGTTGGCAGTTCATTCCGCTGTGGCGACCCCTGATAAATAAGGGACTAAGGCGAAAAGAAAATGAATGTATGAATAATAACAACAGCAACAACAATAATAATAATCATAATAATATTATGTTAATAATTGGAAGGGCATCTACTGCGTAAAACATATACTGGATTAGTTGGCGGTTCATTTCGCTGTGGTGACCCCTGATTAATAAAAAGACTAAGTGGAATAGAGAATGAATGAATAAATTGATGTTATTAATAATAACAATGGTAACTATGATAATAATAAGAAGAATATTCTTTCAATCATTCATTCATCTTTTTGGCTTAGTCCCTTTATTAATCTGGGGTCGCCACAGTGGAATGAACTGCCAACTTTTTACGCAGCGGATGCTGAAAGGAAAATGAATGTTAACAATAAAAGCAATGTTAATAATGATAATAAAAAGAATATTAATATTATTATTATTATTATTATTATTTGTAGTGGTGTTAAATGTTGTTGTTGTTGTTTTATTAGCATCATTATAAATATGAATAATCAGTAGCATCATAATAATAAACATTAGTATCACTAGTAGCATTAATAAATAATAATGTTGATTTTTGGTTATTCTGTTCATTCCTCCTCTCTTCATTCCCTCCTCTGGTTTCCTCTTCTTCACAGTGTCATGTAAATCTGTTTTTTCAGCTCGGGTTCGGTTCAGTTCTATTTTAGTTCAGCCGATTCAGGAGACGAACTGAGTTCTGGGCGCTGCGTATAAACAAAACAGTGTTGAGGAGAAACAGTGTTCACTTTGTGTCCTGTGTTCAGGCTGAATTCAGATCAAACTGAGTCTAACCCTCCACGGCCTCTCTGCTCCATCTGTCTGTCTGTGTGCGTGCGTGCGTGTGTGTGTGTGTGTGTTTGTTTGTACGTATGTGTTTGTGTTTGTTTGTTTTTTGTGTGTGCGTGTGTTTGTGTGTGTGTGTTTGTTTTTTTGTGTGTGTTTGTTTTTTGTGTGTGCGTGTGTTTGTTTGTTTGTGTTTGTGTGTGTATGTGTTTATTTTGTTTGTGTGTGTTTGTTTTTTGTGTGCGTGTTTGTTTTTGGCTGTTTTTGTTTGTTTGTGTTTATTTTTGTGTGTGTGTGTCTGGGTGTGTTTGTGTGTGTGTGCACCTGGGTTTGTTTTTGACTATATGTGTCTGTTTGTTTGTGTGTGTTTGTTTTTGACTGTTTTTGTTTGTGTGTGGCTGTTTTTTGTGTGTGCGTGTGTGTGTGTTTGTTTGTGTGTGTGTGGGTGTGTTTGTTTTTGACTGTTTTTGTTTGTTTTTTGTGTGTGTTTGTGTGTGTATGTGTTTGTGTGTGTATGTGTTTATTTTGTTTGTGTGTGTTTGTTTGTGTGTGTGTGTTTGTTTTTTGTGTGTGTGTTTGTTTTTGACTGTTTTTGTTTGTTTGTGTTTTTTGTGTGTGTGTGTCTGGGTGTGTGTGTGTTTGTGTGTGTTTGTTTTTGACTGTGTGTGTTTTGTTTGTTTGTGTTTATGTTTGTGTCTGTCTGTGTGTTGTTTATGTGTTTTGTCTGCTTGTGTGTTTGTGTGTTTGTTTTTGTGTGTTTGTGTGTGTGTGTTTTGTTTGTGTGAGTGTTTGTTTTTGTGTGTGTCTGTGCGTGTTTGTTTTTGACTGTGTGTGTTTTGTTTGTTTGTGTGTATGTTTGTGTCTGTCTGTGTGTTGTTTATGTGTTTTGTCTGTTTGTGTGTTTGCTTTTGTGTCTGTATGTGTGTGCTCCTGTACATGTGTATGTCTGTAACGGTGTGTGTTTGTGTGTTTGTGTGTGTGTGTGTGTGTTTTGTGTTTTCTGTATGTATGTATGTATGTATGTATGTATGTATGTGTGTGTGTGTCTGTCTGTACATGTGCGCACATGTGCTTGTGATTTTGAATGTGCGTGTGCGTGTCCGTGTGTGTGCATGTGTCTGTGTGTGTGTCTGTGTGTGTGTGTGTGTGTGTTTGGGTGTTTGTGCATGTGTGCATGTGTCTGTGTGTGTGTGTGTGTGTGTGTGTGTGTTTGGGTGTTTGTGCGTGTGTGCATGTGTCTGTGTGTGTGTGCTGTACAGCGTATCTCCCTCCGTCAGTGATGCTGCCTCCTCGGCGGCTGCAGACTCTGCTCCGTCAGGCGGTGGAGCTGCAGAGAGATCGATGTCTTTACCACAACACCAAGCTGGACAGCGGCCTGGACAACGTCTCGCTGCTCATTGACCACGTCTGCAGCAGGTACAACACACGTCAGTGCCATTTACCACACTGAAAGGTCATATACCCCATAGCAGGTTCAGATGAGGTCGCAGCACACCGAGGACACCTGCTGGTCACAAGGAGTCATGCCTAATTAAAAACATCTCAACATAAGCAGATCACTATCAGCCGTCTGCGTGGACACAAATATCTTTATATGTATGGTCATCCTGACTGCTGTGTCTGTGATCTCCAGGAAGCAGTTTCCCTGCTACACCCAGCAGATCCTGACCGAGCACTGCAATGAAGTCTGGTTCTGCAAGTTCTCCAACGACGGCACCAAACTGGCCTCGGGCTCCAAAGACACCACCGTGATCATCTGGCAGGTCGACCCTGTGAGTAGATATCACTGAGCAAACAGCTATCTATCTGAAACAAGGGCACTCGTCAGAGTCGTACAGCATTACTTTGCTACAGCAATCCACATGTTCAGTTTAATTTAGATGTTGTTTAAAGGATAATTGCAAATACCATCGAACTGTTCATAATACTACTATAGAATTTTATGTCTGCTTTACAAATATTGTCCAAATACAGCTTTTATTCCTCTAAACATAAGCGGTGCTGTTGAATGGTCATCAATGAAACTAGTTATGTAGTATGTAATGTACACTCACCGGCCACTTTATTAGGTACACCTGTCTAACAGTTTGTTAACACAAATTTCTACTCAGCCAATCACACGGCAGCAACTCAATGCATTTAGGCATGTAGACATGGTCAAGATGATCTGCTGGAGTTCAAACTGAGCATCAGAATGGGGAGGATTTAAGTGACTTTGAATGTGGCATGGTTGTTGGTGCCAGACGGGCTGCTCTGAGTATTTCAGAAACTGCTGATCTCCTGGGATTTTCATGCACAACCATCTCTAGGATTTACAGAGAATGGTCTGACAAACAGGGAATATCCAGTGAGTGGCAGTTCTGTGGGCGCAAATGCCTTGTTGATGCCAGAGGTCGCAGGAGAATGGCCAGACTGGTTCCAGCTGTATATTATTAAATAATAATGATGCATGTTAGTAAATGTTAAACTATGATTAATAAATGCTTTCAGAGATTATTCATATTACTTCAGGGCTCATATGGACCTGGAAAAGGTTTGGAAAAACAAAAAAAACGCAAATCTTTCAGGAAAAACTCATGGAAAGTTTAAGTCTTGTGCAAACACAAGCCAACATTTCTTAAGTATTTTCATACAGACAGCAAGATATTCTCAGAACTATTTTACAGATATAAAAATAAACAAGCTGCATGGATTGTGACACATTTCGTTGATAAGCTGTAATAATTTTGAACGTGCACTTTCTCTTATTTACCACATGTACATAGACATTACATGAAACATTAGCTCATGAATATTTACCTGGAATTTTAGTAGTAAAAATGTGTATGAATGCTGTTAGCTAATGTTAGTATATGCATTAAATAATGGACTATTATTCTAAAGTGTTAGCTATGTAATTAGTAATTGATCATTGCGGATTTTTGCAGTAAGCTCCCCAATACTGTTTTTAACAGGACTCTCAGCAGCTCAAGCAGCTCAAGACTCTGGAAGGTCATGCCTATGGGGTTTCCTATCTGGCCTGGAGCCCCGATGACACTTACCTGATAGCGTGCGGCCCAGACGACTGCTCCGAGCTCTGGCTCTGGAATGTTCAGGTGAGGGTCCACTTTCTCAACAAGGGCTCAGTGGAAATTTTTTATTATTTTTTTAAACTGTTACAAATGATGTTTATTTGACTGCAGTTTGTATGTAAAATGAACACTAGGGGGCAGTATGACTACAACAACTGTTTCTTCTCATGTTAATGATATTTACAAGGATATGATGTTGAAGAATAAAGCTTTGTTTTAATTCATAAAAACCATAAAACATTTTAAAGATTTCATGATTTGTTGGGGAATATGTTTGCCTCACCTTTTTATCAAAGCACGGTCTCACAAAAAAGATAAAAATAATGTAAAATTATGTGGTTGCGGTGCACTTTTGTCTTCAAAAACACTATTGGTCGAGTTTAGGGAAGGGTTCAGTGGTTCGCTAGGTGATTTGCTTCTGGTTAATTAAGCCTTGACCTCTTGTGGACGTGTACAAAGAAGGACACAAATAAAAACAAAACATAACCTAAGTAACTCGTTTCAGATGATTAAATATATAGACAGCGCCCTCTAGTGGATTTGTCATCTAAAATGTGCAATGAAACATAACCTATTTCACATTTGCAAACAATGTAGACAGCACCCTTTAGTGGATTAACCATCGGAAATGTGCAATGTAACAAGGAAATTCACATTTGCAAAAATTGTAGACAGCGTCCTCTAGTGGATTAGTCTTCTGAAATGTGCAATGAAAAGTAATTTAATTCAGATTAATAAAATTTTAGAAAGCACTCTTTAGTGGATTAGTCCTCGCAAATGTGTGATGAAACGTAAGGTAATTCAGATTCGTAAAATTGTAGACGGCGCCCTTTAGTGGATTATTCATCAGAAATGTGCAACAAAATGTAATGCAATTCTGATTCGCAAAAACGTAGACAGCGCCCTCTAGTGGAGTAGTCTTCTGAAATGTGCAATGTAATATAATTCAGATTTGCAAAAATTGTAAACAGCGCCCTCTAGTGGATTAGTCATTGGATATGTGCAATTAAACATAAATCGGATTTGCAAAAATTCTAGACAGCGCCCTCTAGTGGATTTGTCATGTAAAATGTGCAATGAAACGTAATTCAGATTCACAAAAATGGACAGCACCATCTAGTGGATTAGTCATCTGAAATGTGTAATGAAACATAATGTAGTTCAGATTTGTAAAATTGTAGGCGGCGCCCTCTAGTGATTTTTGCCATCTGAAATGTGCAATGTAATATATGTGAATTCACAACAATTTAGATGGCGCCCTCTAGTGGTATAGTCATCACAAATGTAATTGAAAACATAGACAGCGCCCTCTAGTAATTTTGCTATCTGAAATGTGCGATGTAATGTAATTCAGATTCACAAAAATGTAGACACCGCCCTCTAGTGAATTAGTCACCCAAAATGTGCAATTTAACGTATTTCAGATTCGTAAAAATTGAAGACAGCGCCCTCTAGTGTATTAGTCATCAGAAATGTGCAACAAAATGTAATGTGATTCTCTTTCGCAAAAACATAGGCCGCACCCCCTAGTTTTTACACAGCGAGCGCCCTCTAGTGGATTAGTCATCTGAAACGCACACTTATTTTACGTTCTGCAGAAATGTAGGCTGAGGCACGTATTTGCAACGAGCCTGAGTTGAACATTCTGGCAGCAGCTCGACACCTCTAAAGTTCCTCTTCTCATCCAGACAGGGGAACTGAGAACCAAAATGAGCCAGTCTCATGAGGACAGCCTGACCAGCGTGGCCTGGAATCCAGACGGCAAGCGTTTTGTTACCGGGGGTCAGAGAGGCCAGTTCTACCAGTGTGTAAGTGCCGTCGTTTTGTTACACCTGAGTGAATCTCATCAATCCGGGTCTCATTTCAGCCCAGCATCAAAAGAGCATTTCAAAACAAGCGATCTACAGTAGTTATCTTGAAAACACCCTAAAATGATTTGGGTGCCTTAAAAAAATTTCTTATTTTGACTTTACTTTATTTGTTAATATTAATTTTTAGCTTTATTTTTGCTGTTTTATGTTATATGTACATGATTGCTATTGAGTGTTTCATTTCCACATCTGAAGAAATTACAGGGAGGGGAGGCTTTAATGATGGGGATTGATGCATCTTAGATTTATTAAAGGATTTGTTGATCTGGGTTTATAAAAAATCAAGTTATGTTTAGACAGTAGCCCCTTTCACACAGTGACACCGGTAAATATCTGGAAAATTTCTGGAACGACTTTAGCGGTAAATTCAGAAAAGCGCTGTTCACACTGGCAAAAGTGTTGCAGAATTTTACCGGAAAAGATCCTCCACACATCCATTCCAAAACACCGGTAAATTCTGACATCATCAACCGGAAATGAGCTCTAATCGGCTGCGCTTATGTTTGTAAACATAGTAGTGGTCGTGCTTTTGTTGATAGCTTCACTTTTATTTAAAGCTTTAGCTTTCATGCAGCTGCTTTTGTCCCAGAGATATCCGAACAGCAGCTAAATGTTTACACACTCGACTACATTACAAATTCTGTGGATGGATAAGTGATGTGAACAACTTCATTGTATAAAAATTAACTCTGATGGTTCTTCCAAATCTCAAAATATTGCCATTGGTGCATTTCTTTTGTTGTAGAAAACGCAAAATCAAAATAACATTTAAAAAAATTAGTTGACAATGCTAAAAATCTGTGTTATTCCGCAATATATTGCTTTCTTAACTCTTCTGATGTTTAAACTCTGATATTGTCTGTCTAAAATCGATTATAAATGTGATGAACTTGCATATTTTTTTGTTATTTTGACCTTGTGTCACGTTGTGCTCTGTATGACAGCATTTTAATTTTAAAGGTGCAGCAGGTGATCGTCTTCAGAAACATGTGTTGTTGTGCTGGTTGAAAGTCTCTTCACAGTCCAATAGTAATGATTAAAGTAAATGATCTAAAAGTGTTTATATGCGTTTATATATTCTGGGTAAGGCATAAAACTAAAAAATGTTCATCCAATTAAAATTTGTCAAGCCCATAATTCCCATAATTATGATAAGTAACTGTCAACAAATGTAGATTTGTACATCTCCGCTCCCGTTCACACAGACAGATCTGCCGCGTTCACGTGCACGAGAGAGAGAGAGAGAGAGAGAGAGAGAGAGAGAGAGAGAGAGAGAGAGAGAGACATCGGTGAAAACAAATGCTGAGTCAAAAATTTGAAAAATCCTGAATCAATATTGGAGTTGGTTTTGCACAGTGGAGGAAGGACGACACCATGCTGAAGTATTTCTGTTAGACAGGTAATGATCTGTTTTAAAGCTATTTTAGTCTCGCAAAGCTGATGTAGATTGTGTTGTTATGAATGGGTTAAATGCACAGAAGTGTTGTTCAGCCACTGAAATCTTCCAGTAAGAGATTGATGTGACTATTTTCAGATTCATAAGGTCGTTTTACAGCATCAGTAATGTAGATTTTATTTAGTTTAACAACAAAACACCAGTAAATAGCGCTTTTCCGCCTAGCCTGCTTTACTGAGCTGAAGTTGCTTTTATATTCCCATCACATCGGTCCATTTCTGAACAGTGACCGCCTGTGATGTGCTCCCTATATTGTTTACCGCTACTCTGAATACTCGCTCTGAAATAGCATGCAAGTATGGCTTAGTAATAAGTGTAATTCCTGCATGCCGCCGGCCAAACATTAAGCATACAGTAGTGGCTTTAGGACAAAGCGTGTGAGACAGTAACGCCCCATTCACACGGGGCTTCAGCGTCAACGCTTGACTGAAGTTGGGGCTGACGTGATTGTCATAGCAGCGTCAGCCAATGAATGTCAGTCAGCAATAGGCCACTGTCTAGCTGGTGTATTTGCATACAGCAATCTAATTGGCTGACGCTTCAGTCGGTGCTTGAAAAGTTGAGCTAGTCCTAACTTCTGCAGTGAGCAATGTCTCTGAAGCGGCGCAGACGGATCCACAATGCAGTTCGGCAACGCCTGACGTCACCCATTCAAATTGAATTTAAAGCATTGATGCTGACGCCCTGTGTGAATGGGGTGTAAGACCAGCGATCCTTGCATGCATGAAATACTGCACATTATGACAAGCTCTGCTGCTACACAACTAAAAACATGCTCGATATAATACAGTTTTTCATCGGGTATTGTAGTATTATAAAGTATTGTAGAGTTTCTAACTGGTAAATGACATGATCTAGTGTGTTGTCTACTGTCATCTTTAATGTCATTCCAGAGGCGTGGCTTTGGGAGGGACTGTGTTCTCAAAGCATTTTGGCAGATCACCTACTGCACCTTTAAGTTCAACTAACATTGACAATGTCATCAGTAGCCTGGAAAACAAAACAAAAAAAGCTCAAACACAGAACTAAAAATTGTAAATACTGGCGAATAACTGTCTGTTATTATTATTATTATTTATTTATTTATTTATTTATTTATTTATTCTTCAGTACCAAATAAGTGCTGCCATTTTGACCATTTAAACCTCTTCAGTAGCAGGTTTAAAGTTAATCCCTCACTGAATTTAAAGTTTAAAGAAAGAGAGCAACAAGGTTAAAGTGAAGGTCTACTGTGAAATTAAATCCAGGATCAAACTGGTGGTGTAAACGTAAACCTGCTAATGTTAAACAAGCTTTCAAATTTGGTGCTACAGAATTATTACATAAAGCTTGATTTGATTTAGATTAATGCTGAATCCTTATTGGTTCAACCTAATCTTTGTGTGTGGTTTATTGAACAGTTCTGTGCTTATTTTACACACATCAACCAATTAAAAGTAAAGAGAAAAACTGCCTGGTGTTTTATCAAATAAACATGTTTTTTTTTCAGTTTGAGTTTTTTTCTCCTGTTTTAAGTGCTTTGTTTTGTGATTTAAGTAAGTGAAAATAAATTTAAAATGAATTATTTATTTATTCATTTAATTTATTTATTATTTTTTTGTGTGAATGTAGTAACCCCGGTGTAATTGTTCACAAATACCCTTAAAATGTGTAAAAATTCCTGTCTTCTTGTTTTAAAAATGCGTGTTGTTAGTTTGGGTTGGTAAAATGTTTAAAATATGTTTAAATTCTGTGAGTAAATTGTTACCTTTAAAATGGAAATATTTTCCAACATTATAAATGCCAGTGTTGATCAATCTAACACATCATTGATTAAAATTATAGTCATTTTTATCGATTATTATTATTATTATTTTTAATGATTGCATATATTTTGAGTTGGAATATGACCTCGGGCACCTCCATATGCATGTGGAGAGTGTCTAATTAAGCAGATGTTTGATGTTTTGTTTTGATGCTCGGTAACTGTTGGGTACAAAAATGTAGACAGCACCCTCTAGTGGACTAGTCATTAGAAATGTACAATGTAATGTAGCGTAAATCAGATTCACAAAAGTTGTAGACAGCGCCCTCTAGTGCATTAGTCATCGGAAATGTGCATTGTAACGAAATTTTGCTAAAATTGTAGACCGAGCAATCTAGTGGATTACTCATTAGAAATGTGCAATAAACATAATTAAGATTCACAAAGTTGTAGACAGCGCCCTCTAGTGGATTTGTCATCTAAAATGTTTAATAAAACATAGCAATTTAGATTCGCAAAAATTGTAGACAATGCCCTTTAGTGGATTAGTCATTAGAAATGTGCAATGGAAATAATGTAATTCAGATTTGCAAATAATTGTAGGCAGCACCCTCTAGTGGATTAGTCATTGGAAATGTGTAATGTAACGTAATTCAGATTCACAAAAATTGTAGACGGCGCCCTCTAGTGGATTAGTCATCAAAAATGTGCAATAAAAGTCAACGTAATTCTGATTTGCCAAAAATGTAGAAATCTCCCTCTAGTGGATTAGACATTTGAAATTAGCAATAAAGTGTAAATTTATTCAGAATTGTAGACAGCACCCTCTAGTGGATTTGTCATCTAAAATGTTCAATGAAACATAACAATTTAGATTCCCAAAATTGTAAACAGCGCCCTCTAGTGGATTAGTCGTTAGAAATGTGCAATAAAGCATAATTTAGATTCGCAAAAATTTGGACTGCACCCTCTAGTGGATTTGTCATCTGAAATGTTCAGTGAAAGTTAAGGTAGTTTAGATTTGCAGAAAATGTAAACAGCGCCCTCATGTGCAATGAAATGTAACCTATTATAATAACTGCATGTTTTTGAGTTGATTTAGGACCTTGGGTATCTCCATCTGCAGCCTCTCATTAAGCAGTATTTTGAGGTTTTGTTTTTATGCACTGATAATTGTTGGATGACGATGAGTGTGTCTTTGGTCAGGATCTGGACGGGAACCTGCTAGACTCTTGGGAAGGCGTCCGTGTTCAGTGTCTGTGGTGTTTGGGTGACGGCAGGACAGTTCTGGCCTCAGACACACATCAGCGCATACGAGGATACAACTTTGAAGACCTGACTGACAGAAACATGTGCGTTTGCTGCATTTCACACCTTTTGCATTTAGATATGTGCAGTTGTGTTAGTGTGTGTACAATGTTATTGTCTCTTACAGAGTTCAAGAGGACCATCCTATAATGTCCTTCACCGTGTCAAAGAATGGAAGATTAGCTCTGTTAAACGTCGCAACTCAGGTGAGCATCACATTTTAAATCTGCAGGATTTTTTTTTTATTGTTTGAGTTTGATAAAATCATAGAAATATTCGTCAGATTTAATCAAACTATTTGGATATTTAACTCAATTCAAGTTTGTGTAGCACTTTTGTTTCAAGCCAGCTTTACGAAAGGTACACATTATTGTATTACAATCGAATTAAAGAGCTCCTGTTATGCATTTAAAGAGGTCATTTTTTCATATTTTGGTTTTGGGGGTCTCCAACAACTTACAGGAACTCCAGCACACAATAAGGCTAATTAAAAACTCATTCATCATTTTAATCAATGGTCACCAACCTTTTCATCACCGTGGACGGGTCAACTCTTGACAATTTTACTGCGGCCCGTGGGCAGGGGGAGTGCTAGGTGACTATCAACCGATGTCTCAGAGGATGACAAGCTGACAAAACAGTGCTGCAACGCAGATACAAGCTTTATTCATGGAGAAGATTTTTCTGAGATAATTAGTCTACTCAAATCTGTATATTGCTTACAAAATATAAGGCTGATTGGTCAGTTCTCTACATGCTGGATTCACCTGATTTGTTGACAAACGGGTTGCGGATCCATTCCTTGGCAGTTAGCTTGTCCTTTACTTGGCATTTTCCCCTTTGCAAAGACGTCTGTTTCTTACTCATTTTACGGCTTGTGCGTTAAATTTGGGCGCTCAAATGACCAAGAAGTAACTAAATAATACTAATCATTTTTCAGAATAAAAGATTGTTTAGACTAATTTAGAACAATTCAGGATTTCTTGTGCTGCCCGGTACCAATTGATCCATGGACCGGTACTGGCCCGGGGGGTTGGGCACCACTGATTTAAACAGCTTATTACTGAACGTGCCAGTCAACTAATAGCTAATGAATGACTTTGGGTGCTTTCACACCTTTGAATCGATTTAGTTGTTCTGAGAAGGGTGCGTGATGTAGCCTATTTGAGGACCGGGAGACTTACCGGGAGATTATCATTCGTTTGTGGGCATCCAGAGACTCGCAAAACTTCCCGCTCTACTCATAACTCTCTCTTCGTATAGCCGTAAGCCTATTACATATCCATAAAACACAGTGATATAACCGCGCTTGGATCGTATCGCTTTCTCACTGCAATCGAACCACTCCAGATCTCGTTTCAATCGAGCCAAGACCACCTCATTCAAACGATCTCGGAGCGATTGATTTGGCGTGGATCCTAGCGCGATTGCTGGTTTCACATATGCCAAACGAACCGCGCTAACTGGGCAAACGAGACAGGTTCCCAAACAAAAGTGTAGGTGTGAAAGCACCCTTAACTAGGTCAAGGGTAGTATCCTCCTCATTCTGCTCACTCCAAGTATGTTTGACATATTATGGGTCATTCACTCAGAGTGCATTCTTTCATTCAAATGTGCTACTTTTCCATTGTATTTCTATGTGAACATGAGCTTGACGGACCTTCGCTACTGTTACGCTCACTTTAATTTTTTTAAGTTAAAAGAGCTTTGACGCACAACTCGACTTAATAACTAACTTAAATAATAAATAACTCAAATGTGAGTTTCAAAGCAGTAGACCAATCAGAAGAGCTCGGAGGCTGGACAAGCGTTCTGCTTTTGTTCATAGTAACACAAGTTGGCATGACAATTGCTTTATTACAAGTTAAAATGGCAGAAGATTTATTTTTGCTATCATTCCTGAGCACTGCGTCTCACGTTTGTCCCACTCTGTGTGAATGACCACTTGTTTTTGTAGTTAAAGTGTGTGTGTGAGCCTGAATCAGCAGTGAACTGTATGCTCCTGTGCTGTGGTTTAGGGGGTTCATCTGTGGGACCTGCAGGACCGGGTATTAGTCCGGAAGTACCAGGGTGTGACTCAGGGCTTCTACACCATCCACTCCTGCTTTGGAGGATACAACGAAGACTTTATCGCGAGTGGCAGTGAAGGTAAGATCACACGACAATCTCAAAACATTATTATTGAACACCAGGTGAGTGGGCTTGACAAACAACCCGTAGAAAACACACTCTTTCCTCTCTCTAACTGACACTTGCACCAGTTTTGCACCAAACACTTTCTCACAATCACTCCATACCTCGTAAACAAGATGTGCCTCACACAAATGAGTGGGATTGACAAACCACCTGTAGAAACACTCTCTTTATATTAACCCTTGTGTGCTGTTAGGGATGTTTTCCTCCACTCTGAGGTGATTTCGAGGCTTAATTTGGCCACAACTTTCTCTGTATTCATCAAAAATCATTCCATTTGCTGAAACAATCTCATTTTGACACATATTACCTCAACAATACACTCTGCGCAAATGGACTACCCTTTCGTTATGTTTGGGGCTGTTTTTGCCCCATTGACTTCCACTATATTCACATTATTTGTTCATAAAATCCATTACAACATATCTATGTGTATTCTTGATTGTTGGTGGGTTTCCCTGTTGGGAAGAGAAACAATTTTAACTCCATGTCTTCTGCCACATTCGGACGGTCGGGTCAGAATTTAGCTTCAACAACATGAAAGCATGAATCCATCCTGCCTTGTATCAACGGTTCAGCCTGCTGGTGGTGTTGTAATGGTGTGGGGGAGATTTTCTTGGCACACTTTAGGTCCATTAGTACCAATTGAGCATCGTGTCAGTGCCACAGCCTACCTGAGTATTGTTGCTGACCATGTCCATCCCTTTATGACCGCAATGTACTCATCTTCTGACGGCTACTTCCAGCAGGATAACGCACCATGTCATAAAGCCTGAATCATCTCAGACTGGTTTCTTGATCATAACAACGAGTTCACTGTACTCAAATGGCCTCCACAGTCACCAGAGCTCAATCCAATAGAGCAGCTTTGGGATGTGGTGGAACGGGAGATTGGCATCGTGGATGTGCAGCAGACAAATCTGCAGCAACTGCGTGATGCTATCATGCCAATATGGAGCAAAATGTCTGAGGAATATTTCCAGTACCTTGTTAAATCTATGACACGAAGAATTAAGGCAGTTCTGAAGGCAAAAGGGGTCCAACCCGGTACTAGTAAGGTGTACCTAATAAAGTGGCCGGTGTATAATTGCTGTTTTACTCCATGTAATAGCAAGTAACTTTTTTGCACCTGCTTATCTGAAGGGTTATTGCTGCCAATTGATTATAGACAGTAAAAATTACACATTGTACTTCACAACAGGGAAAAATGCCAACAATGCATGATTATATGCTGTCATGGCTTTGCACTCAATAAATGTCTTCATAATGGAAGTCAATAGGGCAAAAACAGCCCCCAACATAATGAAAGGGGAGTCAATTTGAATGGATAGTAAACTTTCTCAGTTTATATGTACTTGTTTTGTGTGTTGCCTCTTCTCGTTGAATCGCTGAATGCCTCCTCAATTGTAAGTCACTTTGGACAAAACCATCTGTTAATGACTAAAGGTAATGTAAGAGTGTGTATCTGGCTGAAAGCATTGAGGTCTGATGAGGTTTTCTGATCTATGTTTTGTCTTCAGATCACAAAGTTTACATCTGGCACAAGCGTAGCGAGCTGCCGATCGCCGAGCTGACAGGACACACACGCACCGTCAACTGTGTGAGCTGGAATCCGGTGCTGCCAGGCCTGATGGCCAGCGCCTCTGATGACGGCACGGTCAGGGTTTGGGGTCCGGCGCCCTTCCTCGACTCCCAGGACACCGACGGACTCACCGGTATGAAAATAACACTGCTTCATTCTGCCCTGTTCAATTTGGATTCATCTCTACACCTGTAGTGCTTTTTACAATGCACCGTGCTCAGTATAAACGAGTAGTACGTGCACAGAAGCATCCAGTTATGAGACCATTTTACATTTTACAGCATCGATCATGTAATTTAATTAAAATACATTCAGTCAAATAGGCATACGTATACATTTAGTTGTTCAAGCGCAAAATGAGATGAAAAGTAATGTAAACACAAGCGCCATCAGGATCAGCAGGCGAGCGCAGATTGAAAACACTGGAGTAAAATAAATGTTCATATTTTAAAAGGCATAACGTTTAATGTTATTTAATGCAGAGCTTCATGTCTGGTCTGAGACCCATTTTATATTTATAACCAGGGATTACCATTAACACTCGCCAACCCGCCATATGCGGGTCGATTTCAGCGGTGGCTGGTAAGACAGACACTCGCACTAGCCACTTTGGCTGGTTGAAATAAATACGGATAATAACTCTTAAAAGCAGGGTTCGACAATAATGCTGTGTTCACACCAGACGCGGTACGCGCGGATAAATCGCGCTATTTGCGCGTAAATAGCCGCAAGGACATTCGCGTGTCAAATCTGCTTCAATCGCGTGTCAAATTCACTTCAGAACAGACGCGGATTCGCGTGATGGGCAGGGCTTCTGTCTGCCCGGTGACTCTAGCTTCATAGCTAAATGGCTAAAATGGATTTTATTGAGAAAATAGCAGTGTTTATGTGCTTTATGAAGACTGAAAAACAGTGTCGATACGTTTAGGGCCGTGTCTGAGTCCACTACATCCTTTCAGAGGTGCATCCAGCTCTGTGAGCTCATTAACTCCTCCAGAAACTGAACCTGGATAACGGAGGCTTTCAGCGGTGCTTCTGACTGAGCCCAGCCCAGTTTGATGACTTGTTGTCGGTGTCAGCTGGAGGATTTCCCCTGGGACACCATCAACAGGTTCTATGTCACAATCACGCCCCCACAAGAGCAAGCTTCTGATTGGTTAACGCAGCGCGAATGTCTGCTGAAGTTCAGATTTTCAAATTCGAGAGATTCGCGCGAAACGCTCGCTAAGCGCGTCTAACGTGCAAATTGCTGAATTCGCCCCGCGCCATACTCGTCATTTGCGCCGCGCCGTTCGCGCGTATCGTGCCGCAGGATGTCTATTCGCACGTTTGCATTGACTTAACATGTAAATCACTCGCGTGCCGCGTCTGGTGTGAACGCAGCATTAGGATGGTCCAATATGCATGCGAAGGCGATCTTACAATTGAAAAGCAACATGACTGAGAAAAAATAATTGCATCCACTGCATCCTCGCTCTCATTTTTAAAATGGCAGCCGCATAAAATAAGCATATAACAACACGACTTACTACAAATTAAAAGTCCCTATTACATTGGAAACAGCTGAATAACTGAAGTGTTTTGTCTCCTCAGTAGAATGCTATAGCATGGACAGTTGATGTTGACTCTGGAGCAGATGTCCACTTCGGGAAACACACAGTGAGACACACTATAGACTTCTGTGAATAAAGAATGAGAAATGAAGTAAATGGAACGGCAGTTTTTTCCAGGCGGTTTCACATCCCCACCCGCGGAGACGCCGTTTCACTCGATTAAACATGACGCCGGCGGCCACCTTTTCTCCATCTGACTTCGCATCCGTGCGCCGCATCACTTGACGGACATGATGAGGACATGCCCCCTCGGTGGAAGCTCCGCCTCCTCCTGCAAACACTGAGTGGACGACTGCCTCCTGGACACGCCCACACACAAACACACACACACAGAGTTATTTATTACCGCTTTAATTTATTATTGTGAATGAATCAAGGCCTCAGGCTTGCTTTGTGTTCCGTACGGTAATATGCAGTCAGCGAGGAGACTAAAAATGCGGAGAGAAAACCAATCATATCCTTACTTCTCAGCATGAACTTCTTTTGGCCGCCTCGTCCGCTTGAAAGTGAGTGTCTTCACCAGCAGAGGTAATGTTTTCCTTTATTCTCCACTATTTTAAATGACAGCCATTTTTAACAGCTTAACGAACCCACTCATGTTTTTGTTTTCGTGGCAACGATTTGATCGGTTGTTATTCTTTCTTCTGGAGATGGAAATTGACGAAGACGCATTAAACACCCGCGACCCGTAGACTTCCAGCATGCTAAACGTCCTGCTAGGTTACAAACACATGTAAATATCGGCCTCCGTAAGTGGCTAGTAGCTGTTCATGTCACGAAATCAAGGTCGTTTTCGCAGTGAATGTGTGTGTGTGAGAGGAACGAACTCCCAAATATGTGTTTGTGGCGAGCGCTCCGTTGTTTTCGTCTCGTTTCATATTATTTTTAAAAGGGGAAATGAAGCACTCGGTCAAGTTTACATTATTTTGAACACTGGATTCCACTTTAATGAAAATGTATTAATTTAACTTGATTAATGAATCCATTTTGAAGAAAACAGCATGTTTTATAGTGGATTTTAGACCTAGGGAGGATATCGCTGTGTCTGACGTCACAGGGTTGGTTCTGTTCCCTCAGCTGAACAGATACAGTGGAATTAAAGGACTGAACACAGAGACTGAACAGCCTAATTTAACCCAATGCGTGAAGTTGTGGACGTGGAGCTGCTGCAAATACAAGCATCAGATGTGTGTCTAATATAAACATATATATTTATTCTATTTTCTTTTTTTCCTTTTTAATTATCGATCATTTGATGCGCTTTGGTCCACTCTCTGTGTTACGCTGCCTGACTGCCTGTATTTTTTTCAACCATGGTAGTAACGGACTGAACACAGATACGAGACAGCCTAATTTAACCCAGTGCAGGAAGTTGTGGACGTCCATCGCAGATTTAAGCATTTAAGTGTTTGAAGTTGTGTATTTTTCTTTTGTTAACACCTTTGGTTTGATGCACTGTGGTCCACTCTCATGCTGCTCCAGAGCTGCCTGACGCGTCATACGTGACTTTCTGCTTTACTTAGTCTAGTCTGTGTGTATTATTTCAATACGTATTCCCTTATACTAAGTCTCTCAACATGTACCTGCCGTGAAAACAGCGCCGATCCTTGTTTGGTCTGAACATGAGCAGAGATGAGGGGCTGTAGTAGTGAAAAGTGAAAGTACCGCACCTTTTTGAAACCATAGTTGTAACCCAGACAGGCGTGAGATATCCAGCTGCAGAATCGCAGACCCACACATGCTTCAGCACACAATCCAGGACAGACGATCTAGGCAGGGGCGAACCATATGAGGTTAATGACGGATCAGGAGCATTATCGCCTCCTACTGCATTTCACAACATGGTTTCCCATTTCAGTCATTATTATATCGTAACGATCGTTTTAACATCTATGCAGTTTTGGTACTTGTATAAATAAAAATAATTAGTTAAAACTGAATTGACCATTATTTAAGCAAATAAATACTATTTAAATTACTTGAGTAATATATTAATACAGTGTTATACACGTTATGGTATACATGTGTGTATGTGTGTATATATATATATATATATATATACATATAAGATTTGTATTACATATAAAGATGCGTTATAGCCTATAAATATTAACTTGCTATTGTTTCCTTTATTAAAATGAATCCATTATATGATTGAAACCTGTCAAGTATCAGCGATATTTACTGTCAGCAAAATAATGATTGATTGAAAACTGTTCAGTGTATTATATTGAATGTCAATCGCAAACAAAATTCCTATATATATATATATATATAT